AGAGAGAGAGAGAGAGAGAGAGAGAGAGAGAAGCATCAATGTGAGAGAGGCACATTGACTGGTTGCCTCCCGAATACACCCTGACCTGTAACCGAGGTATGTGCCTTTAGCTGGAATCGAACCCTTCAGTTTGAGGGCCAATTCTCTAACCACTAAGCCAATCTGGCTAGGGCCACACATTTCATTCTTAAACAACCCTACTACATGGGCATTATTATTCCTGTTTTGCATATGAGAAACAGTCTCAGAAAGGTCAAATATTCCATTCAAGGTGACACAGCTAGTAAATGCTAGAAACAGGACTTGAATTCAAGTTCTGTATAACCATTAGCCAACATATTATACTCTAACTGCCAAGTGACCTTGAGCAAATCACTTCTCTCTGGGCTGCAGTTTGCTTCACCATCAAATGAAGAAGTTATATTAGATGATTTCCAAGGTTTCCTAGATTGGTTTGGGAAACAGAAAAACTCTGGGCTCAAATCCAGGCAATCACACTAAGGATCATGTATGAGGTACTTGACTTTTCTGAGCTTCTCTTTCCTCAAGGATAAAACAATACCTGCCTTATAGGACTATCATATAGGAGGTAATACATATCAAGTGCCTAGCCCAGATGAGGTTATGAGCTTAAAATTCAAACTTTTTATTGTAGAAAATTTCAAACATAAACAAAAGTACCTATCACATAAAGTTGTTAAAAAATCTTCTTCTCATATTTGTAGCATCTGTAATAATGTTTCCTTTTACACTCCTGATACTGATTATTTATGGTTTTCCTCTTTTCTTCTTGTTGAATTTTACCAGATATATCAGTTATTAAGTTATAGTATCTCAGCTCCAAATCCACCCTTCTATATTCTGTTTGTGATGCAGGAGCTGAGACTACAAACCACATTTCTGTATTGACAAATGCTCCCAGATACTCTGCTAATAGAGGACATTTAAGAGTCACTGCAAAGCTGGAGGAGAAAGAAGGGAGTTCTTCCTGTTTTATTTTCATGAGGGGCTGTTGGCTTGTGGTTCCTGTTAACAGCATCCCAACAACACTTTCTCCCTGTGGCAGCAGCACTGTGTTCCTGGAGCAGTAGTACCCTTCTTCAGAGGCCTGGGTTTCAGCCCAATGGGGGTCTCTCCTCTGAGCTCAGACACCAACACCAGCTGAGCAGTGCCTCCTCTTCAGACTTGAATTTGGAGACTCTAAATTCTTCAGTACTCCTCCCCTCAAGAGATAGAATCTACATCCCTTCTATTTAGATCTGTGACTCTGACCAATAGAGTATGGTGGAAGTGACGCCATGTGAACTGAGACTGGGTTAGGAAAGGCCCTGTTACTTTTGCCTGGTTCTTTTGAGATGTTCCCTCTGGGAAAAGCCATCTGCCAGCTATGAAGGCTGATTACATTGAGGATGAAGTGACCATGCGTAGGCAGCTCTAGTTTACAGCCACAGCTCCTAGATGACAGCCAGTATCAAATGACAACCCATGTAAGTGAGCCATCTTGTACATCTATTCCAGCTGGAGCCTTCAGATGACTGCACCCAGAACTGACATCTGACACCAGCCCTATGAGACTCCATGTGGGGACTGCCTAGTTGAGCCCTTCCAAATTCAAGACCTACACAAATGTGAGCAAAATAAACTGGTTTATTTTAAACTAGTAAATCTGTAGTTGTTGTGTAACATTAGTAAGTGAAATATGCTGCCTCCCCCTCCCTACTTCTTTTTCTAGAACTCCAATTAAACATGTCAGACACTCACTTTATCTTCCGTTTCTCTTCACCTCAATTCCATATTTTTTGTCTCTGCTGCATTTAAGTAACTTTTTCCTGATCTATTTTCTACTTTATTGATTCTCTCTTCAATTGAGTTTAATCTGTTATTAGTCCTGTACACTGAGTTTAGCATTTTGGTTACTACAGTTTTCATTTCTAGAGATTCTATTTGGTTCTTTAAAAAATTTGTTTGAAGAGTTTCTTTTTCTTTGAACTTGTTAAATTTATTTCTTCAAGCATAGAAACTGACATTATTTTAATAATCCCTGATAATTCTAATATGTGATATTTTTACAGGTCTCTTTTTAAAAAAAAATTTTTAATCCTTACCCAAGGATATGTTTATTGATTTTATTGATTTTAGAGAGGGAAAAGAAGAGAGACAGAGAGATAGACAGACAGACAGACATTGATATGAAAGAGAACTGGAAACCTAGGTATGTGCCCTGACCCAGAATCAAACTTGCAACCTTTCGGTGCATGGGACAACACACCCAACCAACGGAGCCACATTGGCCAGGGATCCTTGGGATTTCTGGGCAGTGTTAAGGTGCTAGGTTTTTCATTCTTGGGTTCACTTTATAGTTATTCTTGTTTTTCCTTTTCTATCATGTCAATTTCCCCAAGCATTTTCTCCCATATCCCTTCCCTTTTAAATTAGATATTTCTCATAAGATATGGGCTGAGAATTCAAATAACCAATGTAGTAAGAAGTCACAAAAAGTAAATTAAATATACTTAGAGCCAGAGTTTAAAGAGCTCTTCCATGATTAAGCTCTTCGCAGCATGAATTGAGGATTCCTGTTTAGTTGTACAGAATTTTTTTTAAATATACATATAATTCTCAGGTAGTTATATTTTAGATAATTCAGGTTGCCTAAACAAGTTGGTTTCCAGATAAGTGAGATGCAAATGTTACTTTGAAAAGGTATTCTAAAAACTTCACTTAAGTAAATTTTCACATTGGTGAAAGAAAAAAAATTTTCCCTTTCTACAAATATTTCAGCTCTCTTAATTCTTGAGAAGAATTTAAAATTAAACATAGCCTGATCCCCTAATACAGAGCTCGATATGTACACATTCATTCATTAAATCATTTAACAATATATAATGAGTGCTTACTATGTAACAGGCATCATTCTACCCTTTTGGGAGAGTTGCAGTGAATAAGATAAAGTCCCAGCTGCTCTAAAAAAACCTTACAGTCTAGTTGGGGGAGGTAAACAAATAAATGTATAACTAGTTATAAATGCTTTGAAGAAAAATATGACCTGATGCAGGGAGAGAATGATATGGAAGTATTATTTGGGTAGGGTGATTCGAGAGAATTCTGATTCCACTGTTTTGTTAATGGCTGACCTCCAATAGACTCTTTATTAGGCGAGCAGGGAAAGAAAAGTGGCAACCAATTTATTTTAGGGAAGGGGGCAAATTAAGCCAGGGACTTCAGATACTCACATTTTCCAGTCCCCTACTCAGGGGATCTGGGCACTTTTCTTCCTAAATTTATTCTTTGATGCTGATCAACAAAAAATGGAAATATTTACATTCTACTTGTACTAAAAAAAGTTTATATCCTACTTGCATCAAAATGTAGATCATGTGTCAGAGGTTAGTTAGTACAACTGTCTCACTTTAAGGCTGAGAAAACTGAGCTTCTGAGGGGAAGGGAATTGCTTAAGGTCACCCAGTAGCAGAGGCAAAGATGGAACATAAATTCCTGATTCTGTATCTGACATTTTATACTTAAACAACATCCTATTTGAAAAATACAGAAAAAAACAACATTGTAATACTAGATTTAAAAAGTCTATTTCCTACCTGAAAAGAATGTGAAGATAAGAACCAAGGCCAGTTAAAATATGCCACCATGCATGAAATTGTGTAGTAACACCTATAATAGGTGGTACCCTCTTTCGAAAGTTCCTGTGAGGAGAGGGGGTAAAAATCACCATGTTAATTTAAATAGATATATATTTAGCAACTAATGCTGACAGTCTTAGAGCACTTTGAAATGCCATTCTCAAATATGGCAGTTACTTAATTTCCTCAAGTCTGCTGTATTATTTTCCAAATTGTATTTTCAGGAATAGTATTCCTAGCAAAAGCTCCACGAAAAATGACTCCGGTCAAAATAAATGTGGGAAACAGTACATAGTTTATTGCCCTCTTGGAGATCTGTGATGCATATTAACAGATTAAAAACTCTGAAGTCTTACCATAATTAAAAGAGTTTACCTTCATTTATTTTTTTTTCAGGTAACCTACCTACCCTTTATTTAGGTATTATCCTATTAATACCTTATGGAACAAATGTTTCCTGGAGAACACTTTGGGAAACACAGGTCTACTTAGCTATTCATGCACTTATGGAACTACATACATGCTTTTCCTATGCCCTGCATACAACCATTACCTTAAAAGTGCATCACACAGTCTATAAAGTTCTTTTGTATCTATTATTTCATTTCATAGGGAGTCTCTGAGGTGGGTATTATTAGCTTTGTTTTACAGATTAGGAAGCTAAAAATTCAGAGAGATTCCTCCACTTTTTATTGAATTTATTGGGGTGACATTGGTCAATAAAATTATATAGGTTTCAGGTATACAATTTTATAATACATCATTTGTATACTGTATTCTGTGTTCACATCCCCAGTCAAGTCTCTTTCCATCAGAGAGATTAATTGAATTGTCCAAGTCACTCTGCTAGTGGAGCAGCCAAGTCTAAAATTCTAGATCTTTTGATTAAGTGTATACTATATTACTATTCTCATTTATTAGAGGGGGGAAAAATCAACACAAAACATCAAATTATTTTTATAGATATCCCCATGAATTTTTGAGACAATTACCATCTAATTTTGAGACAATTGCCAGCTCCAGTGGGGTTTCTGATAGGTATTACTGATTCAGAACCACTTGATTAGATTTTAGGTTTCTAAGTAAGGTGTGTTACTTGTTTGCTTATGCACATTAAAGTCTACACTTACTTAACTTTTTATTATGGAGAATTTCAAACATGCAAAAGTAGGCAAAATTATAATGTATCCATTACCCAGCTTCAATAATTATAATTTATGGTCAATCTTATATCATCTAAACTCTCATCCACTTCTCCCCACTATCCCTATTTAAATCCCAGATGTTATATCATTTTATCTCTAAATATTTCAGTATGTATCTCTTAAAGATTAAAACCTCTTTAAAACATAACCATAATATCATTTTTCACACCTAAAATATTGACAATAATCCTTTAATATAATCAAATATTCAATTACCAAAGTTCCAATCATCTCATAAACTTTTTTTTTTTAGGGTTGGTTTGTTTGAATCAAAATCCAAAAAAGATCAACACATTGCACTTGGTAGATATGTCTCTTAAGTCTCTCTTAATCTATAGGGTGTCCCCCCAAAATGTATACACATACTTTGAATAATTATAAAGGCAGTGTTTATTAAAATACATTTCATTTTCAAAATTAAGCTATCAGCTGCTAAAGTGTTGTATACATTTTTTGGGATACCCTGTAGTTTCTTCTCCTTTTTTTCCTCCCCTCTGCAGAGACCAAGTCATTCATCCTGTAAATTTCCCACTGTCTAAATTTTGCTGATTGCCTCTCCGTGTTGCTGTTCAATATATTCCTCTGTCCTCCATGTTTATGCAAAACTGTTAATTCACAGAATTTTGAATTGGAAGGACCCACTATTTTAATTTATTTAACACGTTCATTTTAATGAAAACTGAGATCCAGAAAGATAGTGTTTTAGTAACAGACTAGGGTCCTGAGACCCAAGATTCAAACTCCAGTTAATACATAATTGCTTGCAAGATGAAACAAAAGGAACACTTGCCTTTCTTATAAAATAGCATTAATTATATGAGAGTACAAAATTATATACATGTATTTCATATCCTTATTTCAAAGCATTATTAAGTCTTCAGTAAAGCAAATTAGGCAGATTTCAAAGACCTAGTCAACATTTGATTAAAAATCCCTACAGATGTTACAAAATATTCTTAGGTCTAATTTTTTAGGTAATTTAAACAAGTCTACCCAGAATTTAACTTTATTGTATTGTACATATCTTTTTAATTTCAACAATGGCAAAAATTCCCTTGAGGGTACTAATAATTCTATATGCCTATGAAACTCTGCGTAATAGATTGCTTCCAAAAACATTTCTCAAAGACTGAAAATGTATCTTACCTCAGTGAATCACAGAAGATATTATCTATGTTCCATAATAAAAATCCTAGTAAAAATATACCCAAAGATGTATAACCCAGTCCTCTAAGCCATGGATAAACCCTGTGGAAAAATAAAAAAACACAATTAAATTTTGTCAAGTCATGTCATGATCAGAGCTTGAAGTCAACACTTTCCTGAGAAAGAAAGGTTTTTGTTAGTATTAAAAGCAAAACCTAATAAATTCTCTAATACATCTGCCTATTACAATTAGCCATTAAAAGGTATTGGGAGAGAACGTGCTTCTAAGGCTTGGCTAGGTATATCAAGAAGGCAACTCAAAAGCCCCCAGGCACTTCATCAGTCCCACAGAAGTGCAAGGGGAGTGGTAGAACAGAATTAACATTGAGTCACCTGCTCTGTATCAGACACTATAGTAAATTAGACACACACTACACACATACACACACACAAATAAAATCTTCAAATAAACCCATAAACCCATGAAGCAGTTATTATCCTTTTTACTTCACTGATAAAAAAACTGAAGCTTGGTGAGTTACTCAAAATAATAGCAGCTTATATGTATATTTTAAAGCTGCAATGAGATTTCATTGACTTACATTAAAATGCATATATTTAAAGTGTACATTTGTCTCAATCTGGAAAGACCACCTTTCACACTTCAGTTCCTATCTGACTAAGTCACCTGATTTTGTAAAACAATCAGTTTTTTACTGGGAACAGGTGACAGATGGGTTTTTCATTTTCGGTGAAAGATTCAAGAATTTTACTTTGGTGGTGCTGAATANATGGGTTTTTCATTTTCAGTGAAAGATTCAAGAATTTTACTTTGGTGGTGCTGAATAATGTGGCAGAATTTATGTGCAAATACAAACTATTATAAAACCCATTTTAACTGCATAGTTCTCTGTTTTTTGTTAGACATTTGTTAGAGAACAGAGTGGTAGTTCAGATTTGGTCAAAGATTCCAGTCAGATATTTTCCTCCAGAAGTATTCCTTTCAAAAATGTCTTGCATATGTTGTTCAAATTAGGTAGCATAAAGATAAAACTGAAATTTAATCGTACAGTATTGGACCCTCCTTCCTTTTTAAAGAGTACTTTTGAAGTACGCATCTTACTCCCCAGTATTGATTGCGTTCGTGCTATGTAAAAAGGGGAGGTGAGAGAGCACATGATCTAATGTTATATTGATGAGGTAATGTAATAGTGATTGTTCACTTAAGCATGTAATAAACACTACTCTATACTTCAACACTATCAATACTTCAGTAAAGCAAAAAAATAAAGTGTACATTTGATGAGTACATACATATATATCCATGAAACCAACACCACACTCAAGATAATAATGTCCATCACCTCCAAAAGTTTGCATTTTTTACAATGTTATATAAATGGAATACAGTATATCAGCTTTATTGTGATTTTTTTTCCATTTGGCATAATTATTTTGAAATTCATCCATGTAGTTATATGTATCAATACTTCAGCTCCTTTTATTACCAAGTAGTACCCCACTATACAGATATACCACAATTTATCTGTCCAAATACTGGTGGATATTTGTGTTGTTTCCAGTATTTGTTTGTTTTTTGCTATAACAAATAAAGCATCTACGACCAGTCATAAATAAGTCTTTTTATGGGCATATGCTTTCATTTCTCTTGGGTAAAAAGCTAGGAGAGGAATGGCTGGACTGCATGGCTGGTGACTGTTAAACTTTCTAAGACACTGTAGAGTATGAATGTTTTTTTTCTACATCCTCACCAACACTTGGTGTAACATCATCAGCCTTTTTAGTTGTTCTAGTGGGTAGTAGAGTGCTATCTCTGGAGGTTTTAATTTGCATTTCCTTAATGACTAATGTCATTGAGCATTCTTTCATGTGTTTATTTGCCATCCATATATCTTCTTTGATAGCTTGTTGAATCTTTGCCCATTTAAAAAATTGTTGTTTGCCTTATTATTGCACTGTAAGAGTTCTTTATATATTCTAAATGTAAATCTTGTTGGATATATATTTTGCATATATTTTCTCCAACTCTGTGACTTGCCTGTTATTTTGATGTTCAATTTATCAATTTTCATTAGTTTGCATTTTTGTGTGTCCTATTTAATAACTTTGCTTAACCAAGCCTGAAAAGATTTCTGCTGTTATAACTTCAACTTTTACATTTAAGAATATGATTCAGTTCTAGTAAATTTTTGTAATGGTGTGAGTTTAAGTTCATTTTTAAAATAAGAGAATCAAGCTGTTCTGCACAATTTGAAAAGATTATCTTTTCCCCATAGAATTACTTTAGAATGCTTATTTAAAAAGCAGGTCATAATGGATGCATGGGTCTATTTTAGGATGGGTTTTTTGGATGTTCCATTGATCTATATTGCATTCTTAACAGCAATACCACATTGTCTTAATTAGTGTAGCACAGAGCAAAACAAGTAGGGTAAGTCCTCTAACTTGACTGTTCTTTTTTAAAAAAGTGTTTTGGCTATTCTAGATCCTTTGCCTTCCCATGTAAATTTCAGAATCAGTTTCTCAATTTTTACTAAAAAGCTTGCAGACATTTTTTGATTGCACTGAACTTATAGATCAATTTGGGAAGAACTCACATCTTAATAATATTGAGTTTTCTATCCAAAAAATGATATATCTCTCCATTTCTTTAGGTCTTATTTCTCTCTCTCAAAAAACCAACCAAACAAAAAACCAACCAAACAAAATAAACCCCCATCATCGTAATTTCCAATATACAGGTTTGCATATATTTGCTAAATTTAACCCCAAAACATTTTATATTTTTTTGATGCCATTATAAATTGCATTTGAAAATTTCACTTTCCAACTGTTTGGTACTAGTAGATAAAAATATGATTTTTGAATATTGACTTGAATCTTGCGACCCTGCTGGATTTCACTTATTAATTCTAGTTTTTTGGTACACGTCTTGTGATATTTTCTGTACATGATCATGTCATTTGCAAATACTATGTTTGTATAGATCTTCCATCAGTATAATGTTGAATAGAAGTGGTGATAACATATATAGCCTTGTTTTAGTCTTTAAAAAAAAATTTAAAAAACATTATCTTTATTGATTTCAGAGAGAGGAAGGGAGAGGGAGACACAGAGAAACATCAATGATGAGAGAGGGTGATTGATCAGCTGCCACGCATATGTCCCCCGACTGGGGATCGAGCCTGCAACCCGGGCATGAGCCCTGACCGGGAATTCAACCTCGATTTCCTAGATCCTAGGTCGATGCTCAACCACTGAGCCACGCCTGAGCAGGCTAAAAAAAATTTTTTTTAATCCTCATGCAAGGATATATTTTTAGAGAGAGAAGAAGGTAGAGAGAAATATTGATTGGTTGCCTCTTGTACGTGCCCTGACCAGGAATCAAACCTGCAACCCAGGTATGTGCCCCGATCAGGAATTGAACCCACAATCTTTTGGTGCACAACACTCCAACCAACTGAGCCACCTGGCCAGGGCTCCTTTTTTTAAAAGTTTACTGATTTTTAGAGACAGAGGGAGGGAAAGGGGAGAGAGAGAGAATTGAGCCTGCAACCCTGGCATGTGTCCTTGACTGGGAATCAAACCAGCAACCTCCTGGTACACGGGACAACACCCAACTAACTGAGCCACACCAGCCGGGGAAGGGCTCTTTTATTCTTGGTTTTAAAGAGAAAATTTTAAAACATTTCATGACTAAATGTGTTAGATGCTGTAGAGTTTACAGCTTAGGAAAGTTCTATTACTAGTTTGTAGTTTTATTTTGTTTAGTTTTAGATCATAAATAGCTGTTGAATTATATTAAATGGTTTCTCTAAGTCTATTGTTATGTAATTTTGCTTTTTTATTATTATGAATGACATGAATAGATTTTCTCAAATATTTTATTTTAATGATAAGTATTTGTATATAAATGAATGAAAAAGGTGATTAAAAATCATTAGGAAAGCACAAGCCTGATGATAAAGGTTCTCAGAGAAGGTGAGGGTAAGAGAATCATAATCTGTCTTGAATTTGTTTCAGGGAGTTTATCATAGCCCCATTTCGGGGAGGCAAGAATGAGTTCCAGGTAACATAAGGCCTAACACTGGGAAGGCACCTGGCAGGGTTACAGTGTAGACGAGTGCTGAGATGTGACAGGAGTATGATCAATAAGAGCTGGATACTATTTCTGCTTCTAAGCTTACTTACCAGGGCCAATCTTCAGCTCTCAGCAGTTCAAAGCAAAATTCTTCTGTGGGGTGAAATGCATGTCTGGTTATCCAGGTAGCAGGGTACACAGGAAAGAGTTAAGAACTTCATCAGCACACGGGCCATGCAAGCTAAGAATAGTCTTTCAGGCTGTTCAAATGACCTGTTCCAATTTTCTTCCTATAGATCTTTGCACTGAACATTCAGAATGCATAAGGTCACCCAACTTCCCTGATTTCAGTATAGTATTCACATGCTCAATTGTGCCTGGTAAAATCCAACCTAGAGACATTGTTCATCCTTTCCAGAGAATAAACCTCTAGACTTTTGCAGTTGCTCAGTGGTATTGAGTGGGCAAGGGGATCTAATAATTTAACAGTCTCTTAAAGCTTTTCTTTTAGATCCCTCCTGCATCTTCTTTTCCAAAATGCCTGTTGCTGTTAATGCCCAATACTTGAGAAAATTCTCTGATGAAACTGGAGGTTCTTGGCTTAGGAGTTGGCTTTCTTAGGTTAGTTAAGGCAGTTAGCAGTAATCCACCTATTTTCTAGTTTATGCCTTTATTGGTCCCATTCTTTATTTCTCTTTGGGTTTATTCTGTTGACCTACTTTCTAATTATTGAAGTTGGATGCTTGTATCATTATTCTTCAGTTTCTCTATTTCTAATGTAAACAACTAAGGCTATAAATTTCCCCCTAAGATCCACTTTAGCTACATCCTACTTTGATTTTGTAGTATTTTCATTATGGTTCCATTCTAAGCATTTCAATATTTCTATTATGATTTCTTTTTTAACTTGTATTTAAAGTGTGGTTTTAAATATATATGGGCCAAATATATGGGCTATTTTGACTAATCCTGTTTTAACTAACTGTACTATAGTTGAAGA